CTTGAAAAATCAAAAAAATGGTGTAAAAATTTCCATTCAGAAATGGCGCTGCACTTGGAAATCGGAGCGGGATTTCCGGTAAGAAAGTTGTTTACAGATAGAGAAAAAAATAAACATCATTGGAAAACCAATACAACATTCCTCGTTGCGCTCTAAATCTAAAATAACAAACAACTTTGTCCGTGAACAATTAAAAACCGAACACGAAATCGGTTTATACAGCTCCGATAGCACCGATAACTCCGACGGCTGTATTGTACAGTTCCGAATGCGAAAATACGGAATGATTATTGTTATAATTTTGTGCTCTTAAAGTAATATATTATTAACGGCAGAGACATGAACGAAACGGCAATAATTCGATTGAACGAAAATAAAATTAACACCTATAAATAGGATATGTTTGCCACGTGTTTGATACTAAATATCGCAATGAAAATTATAGTTTAGGGCTTTTTAATCGATTCGGTAGAACCAGAATCAATTACGTGATTATTATTATTTTATTTTGGTAAAACCGATAAGAAACAAAAAAAATAAAAAATAAAATAAATACCGTATACTCATTGGTGAAATATTTCGTTTTTATATCATTCGACGAATTCGTATTAAATAGTATATGGATACATTAAAATTTAACACCGTTTACAGACGACTGCGCGTGAATGACACAAATTAGACGTATTTATGTGTCACACAGGCCATAGTCAATATAATACATTACGCATCGACTACAGACGATTAAAAAAGCCACTTAACACTTTAAAACGCGACTATTTATTATATAATTATTGGCATTGTTGAATAACAAATATAATACAATATACAGTGTGTTCCGTTGAAATGTCCTAGACATGTTAGTAATACAGTAATCTTAAACACCGCTACCCAACTATTCACGCGTGAGCAGGATGATCGCGGCGTTCGCCCCGTCTTCAATACCCCTCCTCCCCTCAGCGAACGTTTATTGGTTTTTATTGAAATTTCTTGCTATCGAAAATTGTGTAGTTTTACTGGTTTTGTCGTTTATTTTGTTTTTATGGAGAGTGATTTTTTTTTTTTTTATTATGAACCAGCAATTTTCTCGAAGGATTTTGAGTGAATTCGATTTCTGTTTTTCGATCTTTGCCGAGTCGTTTAAGCTTTATTTCAAAACCGTTTTTAATTGTTTACCCCTACACCATATACCTTAAATAAGTATTTATCGATTTATAATTTAAAAATATATGTATGCAATTCATTACCCTGTTCTCTACTCTTCTGGTCTAAACTTTAAGCGGTTATGCCACATAAACGGTAAATCTGATATTGGTGTCGTGCATATTAAAACGTCTAGAAAAATATTCTCTATTCGAATTCAGTGGCGCATCTAGACCTCTCTTACGGGGGGGGGGGGAGGGGCGAAATATATTTTCACCCATTCGTAAAATAGAAAATTTCTTAAAAATTTAAAAAATATATCAATGTACACATATTGTCACATTCAATTACACGACCCCCGGGAGGGAAGCGAATGCCCCTTCGCCCCCCCCCACAGGTACGCCACTGTTCGAATCTGTATTCAAAAATAAATGGAGAGGGGGTTCCTATTTGAAAAACAAAAGTAAAGACTTTGGTTTTAAAAAAAGGTTTATATAAAATAAGAAATCTAATTCACTTAAAATTCTCCGAGAAAATTGATGGTTCGTGATAAAAAAAATAAATCACTCTGTACATTTAGCATACATCAATTTCTATAAAATTACACTATAAAATCACTAGCTCATGTTGTTATACTAAAAACTCAACATCAATAGCGCACACTCGAAATTAAATTGGGGGAGTGGGTTGAATCGTTAATGTACCACTCACCTACGGATCGCACCAAATTAACAATTGCTCAGCTGTATTCTTTAAATAATAGTTCACACAATACGATTGATTTCTTTATAATATTTCTAACGTATGTACGGGCACTTTTAGACCACCATCACAATTCACATTCCACTTAAAATTCTAGGGTATGGCAGCTATTATACCCCGGAACCCTCTAGTGTACGTCACTGCTCAGAATACGACTAATACGAGTATATTACGTATTCTATTATTTTGCGTTAACAACGCAAACGCACAAAGCTCAGACGAATCGTAAAATATTATTACACTGTCTACTTGAAATAATATTTATTCACAGGAATTATGATTTTTTTTTCTCGGTTTATCGAACAATTTAGGACTTTATGTAAGTATGTGGGATTTTGTAATTTTGTTGTTGTACCGTAAAACAGCCGCAGTCAAATTTCTTCCCCGTTTAAAGTCGCACGAACTTTAAATTTTTTCTGAAAATTCGATTGACGTCATAATCGCCATTAGACGTGGACGAACAAAATCGGACGACTATTTGAATCCGATACGGCCAAACGTATTACATTACGCGCGTTTCCGTTTAAGACAACGGAAGTGTCTATCGCGCACGCCCCGTAAGGGTTAAACATTTTGAAAACTCGCTCGAAACACTTGCTGCGGTCCCTCACACCGATGTCCCGTTGTAAATCCCGCCCGATTACGATCCGAGTCTATTACCCGGCCGAAATACTTCGTGTTACCGTCCGAGCGAAACACACTGTATGCACATTGCACATTATAGTATACAATATTACAATATTTATTATATGCTCTCGTTTTATCGTATATTTGATATACGGAGTTAGTACACCAGTATACCAGTGTAAAAAATCGAGAATAAACAATAACACATTAATTTATATTAATAATAATGTGCAGAACACATAAACAATTATTATTATCCTGCGAGTGGTTTTTTTTTTCTTCTTACAATATAATAATAATTATATTATGCACCGCAATCAATTTTTTTTTATTATTATTATTATTATTATTATTATTATTCGACCGCGTTATTTATAACCTCGAATTAAATATTCGAAAATAGAACCGAAAAACGCGCATATCGATTATGACATTTTCAATTTCAACAATAATAATATTTAAAACGTTGGAACCATTAAACGTATTTAATTATTTCTAGGACAACGACCAAGTATAATAATAATACGTACGTTCGGTCCGTGCGTTTTTTAATTTTTTATACGCACATATTATATGTATATATAAGTATCATTTTCGAGAAGCGTTTATAATAAACATAATTGTTGTATTTTTGAAACGATTAAAACTACATGTACTTAGAATTCGAAATACGTATATAAATATTATTTTTAACATTTTTTCCTAGAATACATGTTTTTTTATACCTATATGCATATGCAATGTTGATAATAATGTATCAGAGCCGTTTTATAATAATTTTTTTTTATTAATTTCCGATGTTCGGTTTCGAATTTTTACGACGGCTGAACGGATTCTGGGTCGGCGTCTCCCCTACAGCTGCAGGGGTGGCCAACTTGCAAGACATAAAATATACCGATCCCCGCGGAGTTTTTCTAGGTTGTCGCGATAAATATTATATTTTTTTATGCGTGCGCGTGTTACGATTCTTTTATTCGGAACAATATACGAGCGATGAAAGTTTTGCACAACACGCGCATTTATTTATTACATATATTCGATTACAAAGGATATGCTCGTTTAATCGTTCAGCGAGACGTCTGCGCTCGCGTTCGATTTGACAAACTCACAAAATCTGGGGTGTACGACGACAAAGATAAATTCGGGCTATCTCCAGAACGCATATCGATCAAACGTGCACGGTGTATAATTTCGTTTTTCTTATGGTTATTCATTGCCTTCATTAATTGTATCGTTGTCAATCGCATTTTTATATTCGCGGTTTAAACAAAGGCACGCTGGTTTACAAAAAATATAAATAAATAGTAATATTACATTAGAATACAATCGAATTAATCGAAAAATACAATAAAAAAAAAAAAATATTAGCTTTTACATTCCATATGTACGCATATTGTACATATAATATACCTACCATAATATGATATGATATTATGTACCTATATTATAATATTATTATTATTATTATTATATATGGTGTTTTTAATAAAAAAAATTACCCCGAGTGTACGGTTTTTCTTCTTTTTTTATTTTTCGAGAGCTTGTATCTCGTATACGAAATGTTTATAGCGCACTTAATCCGAGTATATTTTATTATTATAGGCGTATAGGTAGGTACTTAGAACATCATAATGACTGAAAAATGACTTGTTGAATCAATCAATCTACACGACGGAAAAAATACGTAGCCCCTTGAAGTATGAAAATATTATAATATAAACCATTAAACATAATGCGTCGTAAGTTAGTTCGGATTGTTTAATGTCAGCTTTCTCTTACAAAAAAAAAAAAAAAAAAACAAAAAAAATAAATAAACAAATTATCAACGTCTATGATTATGCTCGTTATTTTTTTTATTTTCTAGTTAAAATTCATTTTTTACAATAATATGTTAGTGTATACCTACTTCACGGCATCGTAAATTCTTCGCTTATAATTATTTTGAAAACTATATGCTATGGCCAATAAGGACGTTCAACGGGGACGGCTCTTCCGCCAGCCATCTCCTAGATCACAGACAATTGAAATTAGCGTAAAAATGTAATTGTAATGTGGTTTATTTAAAAAATAACAATAGTAATTATAGCGTTATAGCTTTAGATTTCTGAATGGAAATTGGGATACATAATGATTTTATGATAGTTTGTTGAAGTTAATTATTGAAAGTAAACGTAGAGATTGAAATTGGAAGAGGAAGACCGGGGACGGAAGAAATATCGCGAGTATATATAAATATATGGACACGGGTATGAAAAATTATCGAGAGTTCAAGGATTTGAATTTTAACAGAGAAACACTATGACGGAGACCTGCTGCAGCCAAATGATTTCATTTTGGGTGTATTATATTATCGCGCTGCCTATTTTTGTGTTTTACCGCCGACATCCGCGCGTAATCGTGTAGAGTCGTAGCGATCGATTATTTTTGTACACTCGAAGAGAAAATGTCTTGACGTTTTATTTCAAGTGTGAATTATTTTCAATGTCAATTGCAATTGGCATTGAGAGCGGAAAACTCTATACAATTTTTCCGCGGTAAGAATATCCACAATTCTATGGAATAAAATTTAAAATTGTCGATCGACAACAATTTTTAAATTAATAACGACAATGTGTCTGTACAAAATATTATCAACACGCGGCGAGATTTTCCATCGTTTTTTCCGTAGGTCACAAAAACACGCACGCACGCCCACATGTCCGTAAATATAATCCACGAACGAACCTATTATAGACTCAACCTACATAATGTCCGCGGCAAAAGGTTATCAAGGTCGTATTTTGTGTGTATAGAAAAAAGATATAGAAAAGAAACGGAATCCCGATAAAACCGAGGGCTGTGATGATGATGGAATCACATAATATATAATACGTGTATAATGAATATTATTAAAACGTTATCGTTAAAATTTTCGGACTAAATCGTCGATGAAATTGAACTTGGTAAAAAAAAAAAAAAAAAAAAAAAAAAAAAAATTAAAAAAAAATTATGATCACGGTTATCGTGTATACGCCGCTGCGTGCGTGTGTTCGCGATAAAGCAATCCGGTCAGAACCGTGTCGACCCGATGTCCAGAGGTCGACCCCATAACATTGTATCGGTAATGATTTTCGGCATTTTCACTGTATAATATTTTTATGGTCCGCATAAAACGCGTCAGTTTATTTCGGGAACGTTTATCGCTATCGATTTGTTTTACCGCTTATCCGGTATTACGGAAAAAAAAAAAACAAATCAATGTTGAGAAAAAAATATCATACATATACGGCTACAATATTAAAATATTGTATAATGGTGTCTGTTGTCCTTGACCGAACGAAATAATTTTTATCGCTCGGTACGTTTCGAACAATATCGTACTATAAGAGATTAATGAATTACACGAATTCGAAAATAATATTATTATTAACAGTCGTTATACGTTAAAATAATTGTTGATATCATTTAAAAAAAAAATTCCGTACACGGAATACCAATCCGTGCGTACACCGAAGAAGCTATTACGGCCTTAATGTGTTTTCGGTTAGTAAAAAAAATGCTCCGGTTTTTGTTCACGTCGTACCGTCGAAAATATAAAAAAAAAAAAAATGCGAATAAATATGTCCGGCGATAATTTATTTGAAGAACTCTTCGAGATTTCCAGATATTCATTATTATCATAAATGTGTTTGTTTTATGAAAATATTCCCGATTTTCGTACCATACGACGCGAAATTTCCGGCCGACGGTATTTTAAACTTTAAACTCTTTAGAGGACGTCGTGCTCGCAATGTGCCGTCTCCGTCATACGACCGCGCGACATAGCAAATTTTCGTTCAACACGGACGACTTTGCGCCGTTAGTTTTGATATTAATGTGAATTTACCGATAATACAATTAAATGATGTGAACATCATCTGTGTCGTCTCGTCGTTTTTTTTCTTGTTATATTAATTTTCAAGCGAGTTATAAGCATTTTTCAATCGTGATGTTTCACACTCACGTCATATTCCACACGGTCGCACACAGATTTAAATAATGACAAAAAAAAAAAGACGATACGACACAGATAATGTTCGTATCTATGAGTTTGATAACTGGTCAATTCATTATAATATCAAAACTAATAGCACAACAAAGTTGTCGTTGCCGAACACAAATTTGCTATGTCTCGCGGTCGTATGGCAGAGACAGCACAAGCGAGTATGACGACCTCTTAACAGTTTATCTCCTAGACCGTATTTTGTTTTGTTTTCTTTGCAAATATTTTTTCGGTAAATAAAATGTTTCGAATTATGGTCATAATGTCCTAAAAAAGATTCGGTCGGTGATGTCTATTTGTCTATATTCCCAACAGTTGTTCTAAGCAATAACAAAAACTGACACCGAAAGATGATATATTGGTTTGTTCTTTTTACTTCTGCAGGGTTTTACCATCACAATTTACCGATATCCGCCGAGAATCGTTTTTCGTTTGCAATGAATTTTTTTTTCGTATATCTAAAATGTTTGCCTACAATAGTGGCTTATGCATTATTATTACTTTTTATTTACTTTGCAGACCATTATTATTGAGGTCCTTTGCAGCTCCATCTGTCGCGATTCGTAGTGGCATCCAGTTTTGCTATCCTGTCCACCATTTTGTTAATTCTTTATTCTCCCGATGTCCCGCGGTCTGCCCCCCGGGGCGGTTACCTGTCGGTCGGTTGACCAGTACATTTCGAAAACGCTCTCCTCTCAGCCTGCCCATTCTGTAGCCGCCTGGAGTTCGGTAAGCACTTTATGTTAGTTTTATAAAATAATGACGCTTCCGAATCTGTGTTTTTTTTTTTTTTTACCCCCTCTGCTCGTGTTCTCCAGTAGACAGTAATATTGTATTTTATCTGCAGAATTGATAATACAGATTTTAAAAAATCTAATACAATATCATAATGGTAACAAAAACGACGGTCATAATCTGTTAAGTGTTTTATATATAATAAACGAATGTGTGATAAAATTAATTAACTTTGTATATACGACGATATATTATCGTATATAGGCGCAACAATAGGCCCGCAGTTGTGCGGGAGAAGTGAATTTTGTTTCGCCTCCGTTCGGAAACGAACCGATAAAACGATGATTTATGAAGGTCGCTGGCGACGTGTGTTTGCAAAGGGGGAAAAACGTGTAAAATGTATAGTACGAAAAAAAAAAAAAAAAAAAAAAT